AAAACAAACAGTGCTTTTTCCTTTAATATAACTGAATATATATAATTGTATTATCATAATATATTGGGACCCAATTGAGGAAATCAAGAATCTGTCATTGAAAACCCCATATTGATCAACAACCTCTAATCTGAATGCTGAGCGTGTCTATGGTGGTCAAGGCCCTGGCCTTTCTTGTCACAACATCCTGAGTGTTGACCAAAAATTGTAACACCAAGGTAAAACTCATTCAACACTTGGGTTCCCCGGTCTAAAAACAGAAGCCCCGCCGGCTCATACAGTTCACTGTAGTAACTTCCCTCCTGTTCAGATCACATGACCAGCTCACAGATCTTAGATAAATAATGCAAAAGTCCACTACGAATCACACTGGCTCTTTTATAGAGACTTGCTCAGATGACACAAAAGCGAGGCCAGAGTAGTCTCAACAGGATGAAACTAGATCCGGCCCTTTCTTGATTCTTTAGTGACTGTGGCAGGATGCATATGTGTAGGTCAAAATGTGTTTGCAGTCATCGCCGTGCAACTTCCTTGTGTGTGTATCTGGGTGTAACATGAAAACAGAGAGAAAGAGGCAGGGAGGGAGATACGTTGAGAGTGGAGAGCTAGCTAATTGTTTAGCTAAAAACAAACCTCATGTGACCCAGTTTGTCTACAGAGCGCTCATTATGTCCCCAGAACGGTGCGCCGTGGGCCACATGAAGCACCGTGTGTCACGCAGAAACGGCTGCGGGGAAATGCCAGCACTGCATCGACCAAACCTCTCACTAACAGTGTGGAAATGATTGACTGATTTCCATTAAGCTGCATTGTGATCGTCAGTGGCAAGTGCTCAGAGCCAGTCACGGTGTGATTTCCATTAGCAGAGAAAGAGGAAAAGTTGGTCGATGCAGTAATAGATGAGAACACAAGAAGAGGAGAGATAAAAGAGAGAGCGGGACGAGGTATTCATAAAGGAGGCAGAAACAATAGGTCTCTGTAAATGGCTCCCTTGTGATGTATTTATTTACGATGCGTTTCAGTGAGAATGCAGCCAGCAGAGACATATAGGCTAAGGTTTTTAACGTCTGGGAGGTACAGTCGCATTAGCGGTGGAGAACCAGGCATTTTTATATTTATTTTTTACATTTAACATTTTATTCATAACTCACAGGCTACTCCAAATATACAGTGATTGCTTTAATAGGGCTGTCAAACAATTAATTGCGATTAATCGCATGCAAAATAAAAGTTTGTGTTTATATAATATACTGTATGTGGGTGCACTGTGTATAGTTATATATATGAAGGGTTCAGATGCAAAAGCCTCTAAATGCCATTTAAAATTCTCTTCTTTAATGATGATTTTTGTCAAGCCTGTATATTTAAGTTCAGTGATTTCACTTAAATGGCAATGATAATTACCTATTAATTGTTATTTAAGTGAAATTACTGAACTTAAATATACAAGTTTGACAAAAATCATCATTAAAGAAGAAAATTTCAAATGGCATTTAGAGGCTTTTGCATCTGAACTCTTCATATATATATATATATATATATATATATAAAATACACACACACATATATATATATATATATATATATATATATAAAAAATACACACGCATGCATATATTTGTATATATTTAAGAAATATATACAATATATATATTTAAGAAATATTTTCTTAAATAAATATTGTATATATTTGTATATATTTAAGAAATATTTTCATGTATATACTATATATACAGTATATTTTATATATAAATAATATTTTTTTCTTATATATTCATGCATGTGTGTGTTTTTATATGTATACAAAATAATTATACACTGTGCACCCACATATATTATATAAACACAAACTTTTATTTTGGATGCGATTAATCGCGATTAATCGTTTGACAGCCCTAATTTATAACAATTCATATTCATTTTAGTTATATGTTTTTATAGCAAAAGTCTTTAAAGGGATAGTTCACCCCAAAATGAACTGTTTTAGGGACTCAAATACAGTATGGACAACCGTATTTTGCTGCTGTGTGAATGTGGCATGTCATCATCATGCTGGCTTGTTTGTTACTGAAAAAAATGTGTTCGTTTACAATTGCCTTCTGCTACAATTGGCCCCAATCTCCCCTACTAAGGAGCAAAGAGGATAGTAAACACAGAGCAGCTGATATTGTCTTGGGTTTTCTTGTTCACCCTCCCCTGAGGCTAACGCTTTTGAATATAGAGTTTGATGGAGAGAGTAAGAGTGTGTGTGGGGAGAGGAAGGGCAGCATGACATGACAGCATGTCCTGTTTCCTGTGTTTGTCCATAGTTATTATGCACTTCCTGCGGCCCGAGAAAAGACATGGAAACTCACAGCTGGTTTAACCTAAGGCGAAACAAAGTTTCCAAACGTACCCAAGAGTGAGTGTGGATTTCACAACATGATATAACAGCTACTGTAAAAGTGTGTGTGTTAATCCGCTGATGAGGTTAATGCCAAACCTGACTCAGAGAGGATTGGTAAATGGTATCAAAATTAAGCAGTTTTGCACCTTGTGTTGCATATAAAGAAAGACTCATAGTTAGGTTGGCGGATTTGCTTAAGCTAGCTAGGGCTGGGCGATAAAACGATAATTATCATGAAATAATTTTTACTCAATAAAACCATATCAAGAGCTTGATAAATGTTCGATAATGTTTATTTGGGAAAAACTCATTTGAACCGCACGCCACATGGACCATTTATCCGCAGACACGTTTACTCTGATCGTCTCGCTCACGAGATCCAGTGAGATGGCGACAAAAACCTGTTTCAAAACTTGAAACAATATCCCCCATTATCACATGTCGAAAATAAGAAATAAATTTTTCTATTAAGGTGTTTATTTTGTTAAGGAAAAATGTTCCACCTGAGATTTGTGAAATGTTCCCCTATTCGTCATGTATTATGTTCTGACAATAAAGAGTAGTTTAAAACCACAATAAACGCTCAACTTTCACTTAGGAGCTAAAATCTGCCTTTAAACTTGAAAGAAATAAAAATGTGACATTTATCGTGATAATTATCGATATCGACTGATATAAAAAAAGAATATCGTGATATCGTGATCCTCATTTCTCACAACTTGGGTTTACACGTTCCAAAATATATATATCTGTGTGTGGACACAAATTTTTGTAAGATGCGATTAATCGATTTGACACCACAAATATATACTGTGTATATATGAAGAGTTCAGATGCAAAAGCCTCTAAGTGCCATTTGAAATTTTCTTCTAAAATGATCATTTTTATCAAGCTTGTATATTTAAGTTCAGTAATTTGACTTAAATGGCAATGAAGATGACCTATTAATTGTCATTTAAGTGAAATTACTGAACTTAAATATACATGCTTGATAAAAATGGTCATTTTAGAAGAAAATTTAAAATGGCATTTAGAGGCTTTTGCATCTGAACTCTTCATATGAAGAGTTCAGATGCAAAAGCCTCTAAATGCCATTTGAAATTTTCTTCTTTAATGATGATTTTTATCAAACTTGTATATTTAAGTTCAGTAATTTCACTTAAATAACAATTAATAGGTAATTATCATTGCCATTTAAGTGAAATAACTGAACTTAAATATACAAGCTTGATAAAAATGATCATTCTAGAAGAAAATTTCAAATGGCACTTAGAGGCTTTTGCATCTGAACTCTTCATATATATATATATATATATATATATATATATATATATATTTTTTAAATGTATATATATGTTTTAACATCTACTCTTGTGTAATGGAAATCATTAATTTTATCCAACGTAAAAGTCTGTTTGTGTGAGTGTGTGTGTGTGTATATATATATATATATATATATATATATATATATATATACTGTATATATATTATATATATACAGTATACACACACACACACACACACACTCACACAAACAGACTTTTATGTTAGATAAAATTATTCGTGATTAATCGTTTCTAGCATATTTCTATGCAGATTGCTATACGTTCTGGATGGTTGCCAAGGGGTTGCTATCCAACAAATTTCAGAGCCTAGAAACTCCTAGAAACTGCACAGCAACAATTAAAACTCCTAAAACCCTTATAAAACCCTTAAAATTGCATAGCAACACCCTGACAACCACACATAACACCATTAGCATTGTGGCAGAAAGCTTTGCAAGGGTTAGCATGCCCTCTTTCTTCAGAACAGAATATAAACATTTTTTTGGAATGAGATGGACCTTTCACCTTTTCAATCAAACACCTATACACAACAAATTCAGGGGGGAAGAAAAAACCTAGATTGAGAGCGATCTCAAGGGATCAGTCGAAAAGTTTCAGTTCGGCTTAGACTAATATAACTTTATGTCTGTGGTTCACCTGTGGCTCACAGCGTCATCTGAACTAAGCTGTTTCATTACATATAAACAACACTACCGGTAATAGAACAATTATATTCTAATATAAAGAAACTGGGTTGTAATCAGCGTGGTCAATGCACGTCAGGGCTGCATAAAGTGTAACCAAAGCCCTTACACCTGCACAGCATGTCACACTCTTTATGTCAATATGTGCTTTTGGCCGAGTATCCATTTTAGATAAACAGGTGTTGCCGGGTGTTTTATTAGCAGGCATTCGACATGTCACGCTTTTCTTTTTAAAGAAGATCTCTTTTAAGATCAAGCGTAGATCGTTGGCTGTTTTACATACAGCAGTACACGCGAAGGTTGCCATTCTCGAAATCTGAAGCAACACAGTCGTGTGTATTCATTTACTCCGGCTTTATTCAATGTTTCAAACTTCGCCAAACAGGTTTATCAAGCATTTGTCTACATGTTTAAAGCTTATGAGAACTATCAGTCATATTTCACACAAAGAAAAGGAAACCTATTGTTTGGATCATTAAGATTCTTTGACATTATTTGCATGACATGTTGTTTTGTTCATATTACATTATATTTCTTATTTATATTATTTTTAAAATAATTATAATAATTTCCCCCAAAATCGAAAAATAAGAACTTTATATTTGCATGAAGACGAGGAAGACTATTTTTGTGTTTTTCTTTCGCACTCCATAAATATAAATAATGTTATATAATGTCAACAAAACAATAATGTCAAAATTCTTGGTCCTAAAATAGACTTAAGTTAAGGTAAATATACATTTTGATTTTGGGTTGAAATATGACCCTGAGGTTTTGTGCGATTCACCCTTGAATGAATGGAGGAAGAGAGATTTTGTGCTGCGAATCTGTAACAGGAGTGCCCTTGTGACGTGTGTGTGTGTGTGTGTGTGTGTTGAGGGGGTTGTCCTAGCGACAAGCTCAGGTGTGTTTGAACAGCTCCATAACAGAAAGAGTGAGATTGGAGCGGGGAAGACAGATTGACTAAGAATCTCACCGAATGAAATCAACACCCGTCTAAGAACAGCAGCTAGAAAAACAGATCAAATCGAACAGATGAAAAGGCCTGAAGGAAATGCAGTTTTCCGGCAAACTCTAAGGATTTCAAGGAAGTTGGCAAATTTCTGCCTGTCTGGACTCGCTGAGTTGAAGGTAGCATTTTTCCTGGTGTTGTTTTTCAATTTGCGGCACACACAACACTGAATGATTTAGAGCAAGAGGACTGTGGTAATGTTTGAATGTTTGGTTTGCTTAGGGTTATGGCTTTTCTTTAAGTATCGTGTGTGCTTTGAAACAATTTAGCATTTTAATGCACAGGCAAAATAGCTGCTTTTTTGAGTAAAGATCTTAAATTTGTATTCAAAATTGAACATTGATCTTAGAAAGTTATCAATGTGTGTCAGTCTTCCGCAAAGTGTGTGGATGTCTCAGACACTTACTCATAACCTTGTCACTGGGTTTGTTTTTGGCCGTTGGCTCATGCATTTTTCATGTCGGAAAATCTCGGTCAGATGAGTTGATTAAATCAAAAGCATTCGAATACACACGTCAGTTTAAGAGCTGCATGTTGAGGCAGAAGTTTGCATGAGATTTCACTCCTACAGTAAGAGATAACATGTAAATGTTTTGCCTTAGAGCATTTAGGGTTTAAATGTCAAAACAGACAACATTGGCCATTCATGCTTACCTTGCTGTAAGAATAGAAAGTGGAGCCTTGGCTATAGCTAATAGCACAGCTGAATAACTGGGCTAATATTTAGCCATTTCGAGATGAGGTTGAGTGCATCCTGACCGCCTCAACCAATGGTGTGAGTTTGGGGTTGGACAATCTGTTTGTCCAACCAATGGGAGATGTGGGGAGTGTTCTGGAAACCTGTTGGAAAACAATTTATATGATTTTTTAGTCTCAGTAATTAGTTTAGCTATTTCCATTATAAACAGTGTTTACATTCAAAATATAATGCACTCACATTTTCTGTGTTCTATTAGGGGGATCCATCCCCAATGAAGACCACATGGTACTGTCCACTGGACTTGGTAAGACTAGATTTTTTTTGTAGTTGAAAGAATGAACATCCAATGAAGGTATAGTCTCAGCCTCAGCTAATTTTCCTAAGGACTGCCCACAGCATGTTCACTTTACCTTCTGATGTATATTGCACACAAAACATAAACATTCTTGAAAAATGGCGAGTGAAATATTTCATTTGAGCTACCGTTATAAAGTTTGGGGTCAGTAAGACTTGCAGCCTTAGTGCTCAATTCTGATTAATTGCTTTTTTTTAAACAAAAACATTGTTTTTTTTAAAAAAAGTGGCCAATATCAGATTCAAGTGTGAACTGATCACAGACCCGCTGACCTGCATGCGTAAGATAACAATAACAAGATGGGGTGCACCAAAGACAATTTATATAGAGACATGCCACTTCCTCAATCCTCAATACAACTATATAGGGAAAACCCTTAACGTCAAAGATGGCGGTTGTATGCACATGCCCCGCCCCTCCCGCTGAAAAGCCAATCATCTGCTTTTAACAGAAACATTTAAGCCTATCGTCTGGTTCCACCGACGCATGCGCACAGTTGATGTCTGCGACAGTGGAGACCAGAACCCTTGCGCATGCGTAGTAAACGTACAACTTGTGGGGAAAAGGCCGTTTTAAACCTTATTTTGGGGCAAAGTCCTAAAACTTTTTCAGCGATTTTTAGCATATTTTATTGCTGTTTGTCCCGGTGACCAGTGAAAGTGCAGTTCTGACTCTCTGCCCATTCATTTAGATAGGAGCCTGGTCTTGTTAGTCCGAAAGAGCTGCCCGGAGGCGTTTCCAAGATGGCGACAGAGTGGCATGACTTGCCTAAAAAGACTTTGGTAGAACCAGAGAATGTCTAATTGAAGAGAATTGGCACTGGCTGGTTACTTCCGGTTTCTGGACTGGCTGCAGTAACACGTCTCTATCCATGCGGGGGCGCTCGCGGTCGAGTGCATGAATGGGAGTCAATGGGGTTTCACCCCCAGAAATACACTTTTCTCAGGATGTAATTTTTTGTCAAGTAATTTTAAAGTTGTATTCAAAGGGGAGGGCTAAGAAAATACACTCAGCTGAAAATTGCATTTTTAAGTTCACTTATCTGTTCTAAAAATCCATTCACAATAGCAGAATGCTAGCGTGTTCCGGCCAACAACAGCCTAACCTGTAAGAAATCAAAAGGACATAAGTACTTGCTCATTCGACTTTTGGTCTATAATCTATATTGAACTTGCGGAATCAACAATAAAATCTATTTTGATTTAACGACAAGCAGGTGAAAGAGACACATTTAGCCGTTTAGCCCCATAGACTCCCATTCATTCTGCACTCGCCCGCGATCACCTCCAGTGGAATTCTACTGGAACTGCAACCAAGATGATACACAATGGGGCTAATAGGAAGTGCCAAGGCTCTCAGTTAGACTGGCTCTGGTAGAACTCAGTTGGAACGCAGATATTTGCAAAAAAATAAAAAATAAATAAATAAATAAATAATTAATACATTTATTTAGCAAATGTGCATTAATCAAAAGTGACAGTAAAAAAAAAATGTTGTTCTTGTGAATGCTCTACTTATTGAAGAATCACGTCGGTTTCCACAAAATTATGAAGTAACACGACTGTTTTCAACATTGATAATGATAAGGAATGTTTTCTGAGCAGCAAATGACTTCTGAAAGGTCATGTGGCACTGAAGACTGGAGTAATGATGCTGAAAATTCAGCTTTGATCACAGGAATAAATTACATTTCAAAATATATTCAAATAGAAGACAGCTAATTTAAATAAGAGTATAAGAAACGTCTTTCAAAAACATTTTTAAAAAATTACCCAAGGCCAAACGTCTGACTGGCAGTGGTATGTCTGTGCAATAATGATTATTTATTACTTACTGATTACAGTTAGTTTTTTCCACACCTAGATATTAACATTTGGTATTACAGTAACTTATTGCTGGTTAAAATGGCAAGCTTAAACAAAACAATTGTGAATGATCATCACTTTTCATGTCAGTGAAGTGGCAAAATAAACTGCCAACTAGAGCAGACTTTAATCAAAAGTTTGGCTATACAAGACAAATAATTCTTGCAAGGAGAAAACAGTAAATTTGTATTGATATTACCCAGAGTAAGATCTTGTAATAGTGTACTGGAAGTCACTTTGGATAAAATTATCAGCAAAAATGACGGCTTACTTACTCTGATCTCTCCCTGGTTCAGTCCACTGTGTCTGAAATGAAGGAAGACGGTATCATCTACACTGTGGTGGTGAAACAAGGGCACGATTCCCCCAACGTCCCACGGGTGAGTCCCGTCTTCTTGAGTGAGGCTCAATTCTGTGAAGTTCTGTCCTGACATCTTATTAACCCCTCTCTTTCCAGTCCACAGCGTCCCGTTCTCAGCACGTCAAAGCAGGGACAGAGGAAAAGCTGGTCCTCCATCTCCTTCATTCCTTCTCCATGGGCGACTCCTCCTTCATCTCCATCTTCTTCTCCACCTATCGCACCTTCACTTCCACCCAGAGAGTGCTGGACATCCTGATTGACAGGTAAAGCACCTCTGTAGTTAGAGAAATAGTTATTGTCTTTCATATATCAAAAAACGGATGATACATTTGCAATGACAATTGGTGATATTACATTCAGCACCATACACAGTAAACATAAAATGGTAACACTTTACAATAAGGCTCATTAGTTAACATTAGTTAACTACATTAGTTAACATGTACAATATGTGAACAATACTTCTTCAGCATTTATTAATCTTAGTTAATATTAATTCCAACATATACTAATACATTATTAAAATCAAAGGTTGTATTAGTTAACATTAGTTAATGGATTGTGAACTAACATGAACGCACAATGAACAGCTGTATTTGTATTAAACACTGTAACTAATGCATTGCTCATCGTTAGTTCATGTTAGTTAATGCATTTACTAATGTTAACTAATGAACCTTATTGTAAAGTGTTACCCATAAAATAAAGATCAGGTGTGTTATGCTTTCTTGTTGTGTATTGTCTTGCAGCATTAGTCATGTCTTGAATATATAGACTAAAATGCATGTTTGAGAAGGTTTAACTGAAAGAAACTTGCACTGGCATATCTTAAAATATGTCAGTGCCATTGTTTTGTCTCAAGATGCACACCCAAGGCCGTACGCAGGGTTTTATAAATACCAAGGTCCCAAAAGTGATCTCTCTAGGGGGGTTCGGGAAAATTTAGATTTTCCTGATCTCGACATGTGCATTTTAAAGTGTTTGGCCAAATAAAATGACAGTAGCTTTTAAAGCATGTCAGTGGGCAATAGCATAAAGGATTGTCAGATTTTCTTCAATTTAAATTTCGCAATGAATTTTACACACTGCAAAATGCAAATGCAGAATTTTTTGTTGACATTGACAATCACATATTCGAAACGGGAACGGCCTTAAATGAATGATTCAAGGATTATTTTGCATAGATGTTACATTTCAATCAAATGTGAATGCAATCCTTCTGTGTCCAGAGGCATATGAGCAATTCGTTTGAGAATCAAAGTTTCAGTTTTAGCTCGCCTACTTTTTCTTTCCTAAATGAATCAATGTTTTTGAACTAATCTGTTCATTTAATTGTTCAATTAATCACTCATTGTCGGCACCTACTGGCAAGTTGAACAAACACAGATAGTAATGGCAATATATTTAAAATCCCGATGGGTCGTGGATCACCACTTTGTGGCAAATTTCACGAGAGAATTGTTAATGGTCTTTTCTTTGTGCTTTCGCTAGTTAAATAAAAGTTCAAGAGAATAAATAAATCGCAGACTATTGATTTGATATATAATTTTACTTTTCTGAAAATGGGGTTGTACAGTATCACACAATTTGCAATAATATAATAATAATTATTATTATTATATTATTATTTGTACATTAACTCTTAATTTCCATATGAACTATTTTCTAGGTTGGGAAATCCTCCTGGTGAGAACAACAGTAACACTCGTCAAATGTTCAACAAGTATGTACCACTGAACACATCAAGCTAAACAGAAATGAATAATAGCCGGTAATGACTGTATTGCGATGGTAAAGTTACAGTAATTATGGGTATTTGCTGTGTTCAGGGCCGTGTGTACGGTGTTCAGCACGTGGCTGAGTGACTATCCTGAGGACTTCCGCTCTCTGAGCGATCCCTCCTGCCTGCAGCGGATCGGCCCCCTGCTTCCAGAAGACTCCTTAGGGGCCGACATCAGGGGCCGACTGCAGAGGATCAGCGAGGAGCTGAGAGAGAAAACACTGCTGTCTGGCTCACTCTCAGGTCAGGATTTTGGCTCTTTGACAAGCGTTTGTGACAGACAGTGCAGGTCATTGTGTCACTTGCAGCATCACAAGCTTGTCAGTCTCACTGTAAAACCACCTGTCACAAGAACATGGATTTTACACCTCATATTTTCATTTTGTTGGCAGGAATGTTTTACATTAAGAAGTTCTTGAGTTTTGAAATGAGGGGAAAATGCTAAATTTAAAAGTAAAAGCTTCTAGCTGATGTCAACAATGAGCTTTTTCTTAGTATGCAATTCTTGACTTAATTGGAATAATAATTTGAATGTCAAACAAACAATAATTTTTATATTCAGTGTTCAAATGCTCACTGAAAACTTGGAAATCTTGGAATTTTTTAATTGTTTTTGAAAAGTGATGGAAATTAATACAATCCTAAATAGTCAGGGAAATTGCTTTAGTCAATTTCAATATAAAATTCTTCACTGGCTAGAAATTGTTCTATAAAATTATTTTTAGAAAAATTTATTCCTGTTCATAAAGGACAGCAAATGTCATGGAAATTCATTGGTCTGTACATTGAAGTGAATTTTGTAAGCTCATAAAACAGTTTGTAAGATTAATGTGTTCTCTTATGCCAACCAAGGCTGCATTTGTTTGATTAATGGGCTCTATGCACGGCGGTATTTCCGGTGAAGCATTAGGGATGCTCGATAACTTCCGCCGATCATAGAGTCCAATGCAATAGCGAGAATTTATATTGAATTTTATACTCCATGGTTATATTAATGAAACGTTAGTCACAAAAACAGATAAACAGACACCCCTCGTTGTGTTTATGCTTCTTTTTAAAATTATATCAAATAAACATAACTGTATATAAAATTACATCTAAACGTATGTACGTTTCGTTTCAAAGACGGGAGGACAGTAAATATTGAAGACTCTGCCATAATCCCGTTTTCTCCGGTTTTCCTCCGCTTTAATCTACACAACCGGAAATAGACGAGCATCCTTGCGTCAAATGCGGAACTTATGCGTGCATATAGCCCATAATATAGTAAAAACAGTAATACTTTGAAATATTATTACATTTTAAGATTTATATTCTAATATATTTTAAGACTTAAAGTCTGACGCAAAGCTGAATTTTCAGCATCAATTACTCCAGTCTTCAGAGTCAAATGATCCTTCAGAAATCATTTACCTAAGGAGTAACACTTTACTTAAATGGTATTCTGACATGACATCTTCATAATCATGACATGACACGTCATGAATATGAAGGTTTTATGTATGTTTATGACAAATGTCATTAAGTGTCATTCGCTCAATTATGACATTTTGAATGCAAATATGACATTGTTTGAGATGTCTTTTTCATGACAACTTGACATAAATGACAACTTGACATTACCAAGACAACATAAATGGTCTTAAATATGTCATAAACATGACATAGGAGATTAATGATTAAACTTAAGAGACCACTTAGCTTTACAGATTAACATTACATTAAACTGTCAGGTAGCTGGTTTTGACAATGGCTGTCATGAGGCCATTATAACTGTGTCATGAATATTTTTCTTGACCTCAACTACAGTGGTACTAATTTAATTTGTCATTAAAATATTATAATAGCCTCATGACAACCGATGTCAAAAACCAATTCCCCATTTACAAGCACATTCGCCTCTTAGAAAGCATTCATGTTAACTCTGACAGACAGACACAGCAGTACTTATTGTCCACTTTGTCATATTCATTTCATACTGTATTGATCTTCTACAGATCCTACCAAAGGCGTGACATCTCCTCCTGATCCCTCGGAGTTTGATGCCACCAGCATCCTGGGGTTTCCATCCAGTGTGATCGCAGAACAGCTGACCAGGATTGAGACAGTGAGTGTGATCATACCACTCACAAACGTTACCTTTACATCTGTGGAAAAGACCAGTTATTAGTTTAATACTAGAAAGAAATATTTAAAGTAAAATGTTCCACAGCTTTTCCCACTTTTTGAGGGCATTGCACAACTTAGACCTGTCTGTAATATCCTTAAATTTAATCACAGGATCTATTTCTGAAGCTGGTGCCCTATCACTGTCTGGGGTCTCTATGGTCTCAGAGAGATAAGAAGGGCCAGGAAGGAGCGTGCTGGTCGGTCAGAGCCACTATCAAGCAGTTTAATCGCTTAACCAATGCCGTCACAGCCTCGTCCTTGTGGAACACGGGTCTGAAAAGCCAACAGAGAGCAAGACTGCTGGAGAAATGGATCAGTGTTGCAGAAGTAAGAGCAGTTTAACTGTAAACTCAGACACTGATGATGATGTCATCATCAGCCAGGATAAATGACTCACATGCGTGTGTGTTTGTTTCCCAAACAGGCCTGCAGAACCAGGAAAAACTTCTCCTCACTGTACGCCATTCTATCAGCACTGCAGAGTAACCCAATCCACAGACTGAGAAAGACCTGGCATGAGACGGACAGGTATGCGTTTACTTGTTGATGGATTAAAGGGATAATATTGAAGTCCACATTTATTGTGTGTGTGTGTGAATAACAGCTTGGCCCATAGATTTTCCACCCATATGGCAAAAATATTTTCTGATATGTTTGAAATACATTTTAAAATGTACAAAAAAATTCATAAAATGATAAATATATATACTCATCTAAATGATTATTAGAATGTCAGAAAGGGAAAGAAAAGTGATTTAAGCAATTTTGAGCGTGGCATTATTGTTGTTGGTGCCAGTCTGAGTATTTCACAATCTGCTCAGTTACTGGGATTTTTACGCACAACCATTTCTAGGGTTTACAAAGAATGGTGTGAAAAGGGAAAAACATCTAGTATGCGGCAGTCCTGTGGGCGAAAATGCCTCGTTAATGCTAGAGAATGGGCCGACTGATTCAAGCTGATAGAAGAGCAACTTTGACTGAAATAACCACTCGTTACAACCGAGGTATGCAGCAAAGCATTTGTGAAGCCACAACACACACAACCTTGAGGCGGATGGGCTACAACAGCAGAAGACCCCACCGGGTACCACTCATCTCCACTACAAATAGAAAAAAGAGGCTACAATTTGCAAGAGCTCACCAAAATTGGACAGTTGAAGACTGGAAAAATGTTGCCTGGTCTGATGAGTCTCGATTTCTGTTGAGACATTCAGATGGTAGAGTCAGAATTTGGCGTAAACAGAATGAGAACATGGATCCATCATGCCTTGTTACCACTGTGCAGGCTGGTGGTGGTGGTGTAATGGTGTGGGGGATGTTTTCTTGGCACACTTTAGACCCCTTAGTGCCAATTGGGCATCGTTTAAATGCCACGGCCTACCTGAGCATCGTTTCTGACCATGTCCATCCCTTTATGGCCACCATGTCCCCATCCTCTGATGGCTACTTCCAGCAGGATAATGCACCATGTCACAAAGCTCGAATCATTTCAAATTGGTTTCTTGAACATGTCAATGAGTTGACTGTACTAAAATGGCCGCCACAGTCACCAGATCTCAACCCAATAGAGTATCTTTGAGATGTGGTAGAAGGAGAGCTTCGTAGCCCTGGATGTGCATCCCGCAAATCTCCATCAAAATTTTTACATTTTAGTTTTGCATGGTACATGAAAATGTTGCATTCTTTTTGACAATACCAGTACAGAATAACCTAAAGTCTGTTTCTCATACTGACAGAGAAGCTGTGAAGAGATATGAGGAACTATCTGATATCTTCTCTGAGAAAGACAACTACTCCCAGAGCCGCGAGCTACTCAAAGAGGTTAGTCACACAACGCCACAAAGCAGCCAATTCAAACAGCGTTTTCACTAATGTTATTAGAGAGCATGGCGATGCATTGATGGGAAAATATCAGGCCAATCGATGTTCTGGGCTTCATCGCCGTAGAGAACGGCATCAATTTAGCATGGCCTGAAGGGAGGAACTGATGACATGAAAAAAACAATTAATCACACAGATTCAGTGTGAGGTTGTCTTTCATGCACTGTTCCTGTTGTGTAATTCAACAACATGCCTGATTTAAATGCATCATACAGAGACATTTTGCAAACACAGGAACCGAACTGAATCAGTTTAATTTAATTATTTATGCCTCTGTAATAAAATGCACAACATTCATTTTCATTCTACAGGAGGGGACTTCCAAATTTGCAAACCATGACACTAAAATGAATAACAGGAGATTTACAGGGGTAAGCATTCACACAAACACACACAGTTCCACTTTAGCATAATCAAATATACTTAAGTATATATTTAGTTGGACCTCAGCACCATTTCTAGATGACTAAAGTGCATTAAGTACTAAATCAGTTGTACAATTGCAGGGTATTAATATTTAGTACGTAAGTATGTAAATGTATTTGTAGTATACTTAGCATAAAATAAATGTATTTCAAATACATTTTTGTAGATTTATTTTTCACTATGGTATTTTAACACAATCTCAATGTAATGTACTGTTTGTAATCTTTGATGTATACCGAAATAAATCCGATCCTGTATTTCTTTTGTAGTCGTGTGCTCAGGGAACTGTGCCATACCTGGGCATCTTCCTCAGAGATCTCACCATGCTGGACACTGCAGTCAAAGACAGATTGGAGGTGATGTATAGTTTTCAGTCCGCCATGAAACACAATTAACAGAAAAAGACAAAATACACAGTATCAGCAGCACATCCAGCTGTGAGGTATAAAAATAGCAGTGGTTTCACAATCTTTGTCAAAAATCATCTGATAGAATCGAGATGTGTAAAAACAAAACTAACAGTCCACTTTGCATAAGCCAAAGCAGGTTATACTGTGTGTGACAATGTATTCTCTTGCAGAATGGCTTCATTAACTTTGATAAAAGACGAAGGGTGAGTTTATGGACATTATATACTTGATTATCAATCATTTGTGGTTTTAAAGAAGTTTTAAAAGGTGTTAACATCACATTCTCTTGGTTTTAGGAGTTTGAAGTTATTGCTCAAATTCGCCTCCTTCAGTCTTCGTGTAAAAACAGCATTTTCAGAACGGATGAGACGTTTGTTCAGTGGTATCACAGCGTACCCTCTCTACGAGAGGAGGAAAGGTCAGCGATACTTCTGTGACTCTATACTGAACGTCTCAGATACACACTGTTTGGCTATATGATGTTGACCATGTGTGTTTATTTTTTAAATAGCTACAAGCTGTCCAATCAGATTGAAGTACCGGGCGAGCCGAGTCCTGGGCGTAGCTCGAACCCCACTGTGATCATCACACAGCATCCTGAGTAAGAACATCATGTTCAGTAAACAAATGTCCTGCATTAACAACCACACAGCATGTAGAGTCCAAAATTAGTTTTCCATTCAAAATCAAATCAAAATTGACCAAAGTGCTGTACAATTACAAGAAGATAAAATATTGGATTAAATGGTTTCATTTACTCAATATAAAAATGTGTGTATATATTAGGGCTGTCAAACGATTAATCACATCCAAAATAAAAGTCTGTGTTTACATAATTTACTGTATATGGGTGCACTGTGTATAATTATATATCACGTGCATGTATATATTTAAGAAATATTTTCATTTATATACTGTATATAGATGTATATATAATTTATATTATATATAAATATCTGATATATAAATAATATTTTTTCCCTAAATATACATGCATGTGTATGTATTCATATATATACAAAATAATTATACACAGTGCACCCACATATATTATGTAAACACAAACTTTTATTTTGGATGCGCTTAATCGTTTGACAGCCCTTATATATATAATATACATATATTCTAATAAAATAATACAAAATATATTTATTTATTTATTTTAAGATAATGCACCACAATACAGTATAGTTTGTTTGGACATTGCCAAAATGTCTTTTTCTATACAATTTTCTATAAACAATTATATGTATGGTAGCTGCATATTATTATTTGCATAGTTGTTTTTTCTCTGCTGAAAATATATTGGTCATTTTTAGAAAACACTACTATATTCTGTAGTATGATATGCATTTTTCTTATTTTGCTAAATAAAACCTGGGCTTTTTTTGGTTATAAAAAAAAAAAATCATACCCATTCATGACAGTCTTCCTGTAGGCTATTCTGAGGATCAAGCTCAGTCCCTGATATGCACACACAGACATTTCTTTCATGAGCTCTTCAGCGCTGTGATGCTGCTCGAGTCGAACGAAATGAAGTTTTAGAGCAGGACAAAGACACACTTATAGTCTGCAGTTAGTGTGCGACTTCAAAGCTACTGCTGATTTTGAGTTTTGTATTTTCACTCGAGGTTACAGTCTATTCAGAAAGAATCAATGTCATAAGCAGCACATGGCAAAGAGCCTGCCGACAGAATACAGTTTGTGACAAGATCGCTCTTTTCTCCCGTTACAGTGCTCTCTCAGCCGTGGCAAATACAACAATGGATGCTGATGGCATATTTGACTTCCCGTCTCCTGTCAATCACCTGCTCTCTAAGCTTTGCAAGGTAAGGGCGAATAAAGAGATTTATTTTGATTACTTTGCAGTAATGGGCCTTTAAAAGCCCGGCTTCCAAAGTGTTATCAGCAACTTTGAGATATTTATTATTTGAGAGCCCTCAGAGGCTCTTTATAGCATTTTAAATTTGCTTTTTGGAATTGATCCATGACAATCTTTTATTCTGTGCACTTTACATGAATGTTGTGATAATTCACACTATTAGACAAAAGGCTGAATACATTTGACGGAATTGGTGTTTCTCATGATCCAAATACAATTTAATTTTGAAGGCTTATGCTTAGCTTAAAAAAAAATCTAAAAATTTTTATTTTATAATTGATGAGCTAACAAGCTTTCATTAGACATTTATTCTATATTATTCCAAAATGAGGAAATATTATTGATAAACGGTCTTTAGGTTTGTCTGACTGTTTGACTGGTAGTGTAGAACTAATTATTTTTTAATATGGCTCTTTTTTATATCTCAAACTCACCTTTTGGGACCAATATTCTAGCTTTTGACCTACAAATAAAAATCATCATCATCAGCGCAGCTCCAAACCTGGAAATCTTTCTTCTGTGGAACAGAAAAACAGACATTTAACGAAACGTGTGAGCTTTAAGAATATGTTTAAGCACATGAAAAACGTTTTTATCCCAAAAAATGTTCAAATTGAATAGATAGTGAAACTAAAGTGCTTCTCCTCATGCGTAAAAATGAAAACAACGGTGCAGTGTTTAAAGATTATTTCCGATGACTGACATCACAGGATTAATCTGTATTTTGGAGCCGACGTGTGCATGATCTCTTAACGGTAAAAAAGCTAGATTGCCTTTGCTTGTGTGAACAGCATATTTGTGTATTTGCCGCTAAAGTCGTTCTGGTAATTTTATGAAAATGAATGAAAATCAGACATTTGTGGGCTATTTTGATTTAAAATTGTTCCTAATTTTGTTTTGGAGGGCTCCTATAATAGGTTTACAACAACAAAAAGAAAAAAACATTTATTCTGATGAATGGATTTTGATGAAACATTTATTTTCATGAGCAAATTATGATTTTTATTTTTAGGTGAACTATTCCGAAGAATATTGTCATCATTTGTTTTAACTCTATTTCAGCATGTGAAATCCCCATCTGTTTCCTGTCTGGATGTTGATTCGTCACCACCGACCAACGATGCCACGCCCTCTGTCCTGACCACACCCACTACAGCTGTCAAATCACATCGGCGGTCTGTCTCCTGTGGCAACAACCCCACCAATAACAAAACAGAGGCGGGGCCTGAGATCAGAATCGTCAGAATACGGATGGATTTACATGACGGCAACTTGTATAGAAGCATTCTGGTAATCTAACAAACTAAAGTCAAATGAAAGTGAGAAAAAAAAAAGAATTCTGAAGTGTTCCCACACTTTTGGGCTTTGAAACTGCTGTATTTCACAGCAGCAGTCCAGTGTTACATCAGACCGACTTTTGCATTTCATGTCAGCTCCTGTTTAATATGGATGCTGTCGCTCTTTGTTCTAAATGTATACTTTCTTTTCTCTGCTGCCTCAGGTCACTAGTAATGATAAAACACCCACTATAATCAGTTCTGCATTAGAGAAGCACAACCAGAATGCCCAAGAAGCCTCTAAATACGAGCTGATCCAACTGCTGCCGGAGGGGAAAGGTCAGGTCACATTTTTTTAAATATCATACGGTGGTGTTTATTTTGGATGTGTTGATCACATCCTAAATTGAGAAAACATTATTGTGGGCATAATGATTTGACATAGTGAATTATGATTTAAAAAAAAAAAAACAGATGGCTGTCAATCAAATAAAATATTTAAATAAATGATTAATTAATATACACCATTGCTCATTTTTTACAAAAATGTAATACTTTTATTCAACAAGGACACATTGAATTGATCAAATGTGAACGTAAAGACATTTATAATTTGTCACAAATGCAGTTTCAACATAAATATAACTATTTTCAACTGTGATAATAATGAGAATTGTTTCTGAGCAGCAAATCAGATTGATTTCTGAAGTCACTGTTCAGGGACCAGGGTAATGTGAAAAATGTTATTTTCAATTGTAATAAATTTGATCAATTTGATCAAATAAATGCAGCCTCTGTGAGCATGACTTCTTTTTTTTTTTTACTTTATTTTTTAATCTAACTGACCCCAAATTTTTGAATGGTGGTGTATATATATTTATTTTATATTATTTAATCCAAATTATTTTAACTAATTATATTGAAAAAATTTAACATTAACAAAATTATTTAAACTGATTAGGCGAAATATATCATTTACTCTATTTATGGTTGTATGAGTATTTCTTTTCTTCCTCCACAGAGCTAATAATACCTCCGACAGGAAATGTCTTCTATGCCATGTCTTCAGCTAGCGTGGACTTCCTGTTAAGGAGAAGAGGAGGAAACACACCGACAGGGTCTCCGTCTCTTGGCAACGAGACCAGCGCAACCTTCCCACGAATCAAAGCCAAGGGCAGAAGACTAGTCCGGACACTATTTTAACAGAAAAACAGGATATTCATGTCCAAGTACTTTCAAAAGAAAAGACACAAAATATTTCATTCAGCGCTCTGTGACGTAACTGTGTAATTTTGACTCAAAAATAATTTTCTTAAGCCCTAATTTAGTAATTTGAGAGAAAGCATGGTTGAAATGGCTCTAAAAAATTAGTTACTGCTAAAGATTGCACTATTCTTGCATTTCATAAATCCATAATGAATTTCAAGACAGAATCATGTACCTGTTGCTGATGCCAGCATCCCCTGTCTACCTCTAAAGCTCATTGGTTACAGTAAAGAAAATCCATTATTAATGAACTGAGAGAGCAGATAAAAGATCCCAACATATAAAATTAACACTTACAGAAGGTACTTACACCTATCTAAATATTTCAAACCCTGAGCTGTTCTGTGTGGGCAAAAAGCTACTGAAAAACACCCACTTACCTGAGGATGAGTCGCAAAAAAAAAAAAAACACTGCCACTCTCGAATGGCCTCACCAAGTATGCAAACTGATCGTTGCTTACTGTGTGCTTTCTCTTTAAATATTCAAACAGAATTCATTATGGGCATGTTAATAGAGTGCCGAAGTGATGATGTCACTTTGTAGGACAACTCGGAAGCTAGCGGCGCATGGGTTCCCTCGATCGAAAAGCTATGCATATCCATTTTCCCCATAGACTTTTGGAAAATCGCAAAAAAACAAGATCTGTGTTTAACAAAGAGTTGTGACCCTTACACGTTTTGTCTTACAAGACAATCTTTACAAGTTAATCCAAAATATTTACATTTTGAAGTTTTTTAAAAACATAAGCAGACACAATAAAGTTTAAAAAACCACCTTATTTCAGACCATTTAGCAAAAACCCGTTCAAAAATCCCATAGACTTTAGAGCGAGGGAACCGGGAGTGCTAAAATGCTAACTCTCTTCCGCGTTTTGGCCTACAGAGTGACGTCGTAACTTCGGCAATCTATATCGAGGCTCTGTTCTAAAACCTAGTAAAAAGCTTGTGTAACATTCTTAACACAACACCGGTTTCAACTAAAAACGCAAAAGTTTTGGGGTGTGAAAACGTTTTCAAAAAGCGAATTTGTTTAAACGATACCGTTATCGTCTCCATGTAAACTACAAAAACGGTGACATCATGCGTATGCATATTCATCTATAGACCCGTAGTGTTTCTTTACAAAGTGACATCGCCAACTACTGGCCTGGAGCAATATTTGACATTTAAGTCGTGTTCGCGGATCCATTTGAACGGGGGATGTTTTGATAACGTTGCCGTCTCCAAATTGTGCGAAGGAAATTTTTTTACGTTTCAGTACATCAGTGTCGTGTAAACGCACCCTTAGAAGGCGGCATAATCACATTTCGAAACTGGCTTTGCACCTATAATGCCTTGAATTGCTGCCTATGTAGGCAGCTCACTAAGTTTTGGGACAGAGCCAAACGAGTGTTGAACTGCAGGTCTCCAGTTCTGGCTGTTCTACGAAACCAAATCGATTCTTTAAAAAAAGAAAGAAAATGCAACAAAGCTGTGCCTGTGATGTTATTTTTGTACCGATAAATGTATAACGCTACGATCATCAAGAATAGAAAAAACACTGTTGTTTGCACCCTGATGAACCTTGCGCTCTCCGACTCGTGTGCTGTTGACGTCTCTGTGGGAACGGAGGCATGCGAGAGCTCGCAGTAAGGAAGAGGGGTCTCCCTTTATTTTCAGCCTCTGGTTATGTTTGGAATATCATACTACCATACTTACTAGTACATTTCTGTATGCCTACTACATTTGCTAGAATGTGCTGTATATGAAAGAGTTGTTATGTTACAAGATGATAAGTGGATGCTGAATTATACATAGTATAATGTGATGATGACAGCAATGTAGCAAGCTTATCCAGGTAAAATGGCAACCGTTCCAAATACTCTTTCGACAAAATAGTGGGAAGTATACAGCGAGTAAGTGGTAAGCTAGTATTCCTTTCCAATCATAGCCTTTGTTGTTGGCCACTTGTTTGTTAAGTGCCTTATTATCAGGTGCTCTTGTGTGAATGTTGTTCCGGTGTGTTACGCAGTGAAAAGCATGTTGCAGCTTCTGTCCTGTACCGTCAGATCTGTATTCTGACACGTTTATGCACTACATACCTCCTATTCTTGTAATAAACTTTAATTTTGATACAACTGACAGCTTTCAGACCTGATTCATGCGTTCAAAATGTCATTACGTTTGTATGTGACAACCAATTATACAATAGATGTCGCATCTTTCAGCAACACATTCATGATTACTGAGATTACTGGATGAGGACTGTTAAAAATTTGCTTTCAACAAATAGACATTTTTATACGGACTAAAAAAAAAAGTTACAGTAATACAATTTTCTTCTACATCAACCATGGCCTGCTAAGTCTCCTCCATTTTTGAACCTGCAGTTATAAAATATATTAATAATGCATCTTTATTTCAAATAATCATATATTAATAAGCGAATAACAGGTTTCACGCGCTTTAACGCATAAAAGGTATTGTTTTTTTTATTTAGCAAGCCGTAACCATCTAGATCTGAGATGGAAAATACCATTTAAAGCCAATAGCCTACAGGTAATTTCCAAGGAAATATATGTTGTCAAATTTGTATAGCCTCTTATAGCTGCACCTATTGGCCGATTTCCATAAATGTTTGTATGCTTCTTTACAATCATACGTCGCATATGCTCACCTAATTTCATAAAGTTCTACATAAATAAGCCATATTATGTGATTTGCCAAAGAAATATATAATTTTACACCTTTTTAACAGTTATAGCATCACCTATGGCCTGATCTCCATAAAAGTTTGCATGCTTATTTAGTCATATTTCACCTATAAGTGCTCACTTAATGAATGAATAGTTTGCAAAAGTAGTTATATCCTATTTTTCGTAGATCAAATCAGAGATGTGCGTTTTGTTCGCCATGAGCAAAAGATTCCAACCAAAAGTTAAGTTATGAGCGATTTCATACTTTTGATCACTGTAGCGCCACCATCAGGCCGACCGGGCGCGACTCTCTACGACTCAAGGTTTGGTCCGCCTGATCACTTTTTTTTAGCAGAAGGCCGCTAATTATACTAACAGAAACACAGTACCGTTCAAAAGTTTTTTTTTCTTTCTTTTAATTCAGCAAAAATTCATTAAATTGATTAAACAAATACATTAAATACATTTTTAATGTCTCAATTATAAGATTTCCATTTAAAATAAATGCTGTTCTTTTGAACTTTATAAGCTGAATAAAATTATCACCATTTCCATAAAATATTAAACAGAACAACTTCAAAATAATAATAAAAAATGCTTCTTGAGCAGCAAATCAGCACATTTCTTCATTATACAAAATATTTCCCCCTTATTAGTTATATAGAATATTTTATTATAATTTGTGAAAAGCTAAAGCAGTGAAAATGTAGTTAAAGTCTCATACGGTGCTTTTTATTTTCTTCAATTTAATGCAACAACAATATTTGTGTGATTAAAAACATCTCTACTAGACACATCTCAATCCAATTCTCATAATGCACTTCTCGAGGCCTGAGGTGATGTGCGTAATAATTCTACGCCACTAGAAGCACCAAATAGAAAATTGTAACATCGTCTCAACCAATGGTGAGAGTTAGGGATTTGGCTACCCATTTTTTGCAACAAAAGAAGTTTGCTAGAAAATATATTACTTTTGCATTTTAGTTTTAATGCTTTTAATTAAACACTTCACCATCTAATATCCAATGTTTCTTATGTATTTAAAAAATGCATTTGATAATAGCCCAAGCAAATATTTATACAGTATATATACACAGAATTTAAAAACACATAAAACTGTACCGCATTCAAATAAAATGTATAGCCGGATTAAAATGTACAGTCTTTTTCATTTATCTGAATAGCCCTGCATATTGCTACGTGCAATAGAAAAAGCATTTGACCTGAATCATACCTGTTTGACACCTACACCTGCAGCCGTTCTGCAATACCCTGATTTCTGCTGTGCTCAACTGCATCAGTATTACAGTGCGGCTTTTTCGCATGTCTGCACTTCTCCGCCGCAGGTCTCGCACTGCAAGGCGGCCGAGCGATAGGCCTTCCACACCACAGCATCTTGGCGGCACACCGTTCCCCCACCTCTCCTTTCCTCCGCCTCGTCACGGTTGATATCTCCTACGCAGACCCAGCCGCCCGACGTCCCACTTCCAGTGCGGCTGCTGCTGGGACTGACCGCCCACTTCGAGTGGTCCTCTGTGGCCTTGAACGTGACGCTCTTGGCTGGGGAAATGAGATCTACGTTGAGGACTTTCCAGCTGTCAGAGCAGTTAGAGGGCAGGAGGCCTGTGGAGCGACGCCAGAACTGAACCAGCAGGTCGGACTGTAGCGCAGGTGCCACCCAAGAGTGATACAGGTCTGGTTATCAATGAAACAGTGAAAAAGTAATAATTACTTATTTTTTTAATAAAATGCATACACTGGAGTATGTTTTACACATTCAGTCTTTATACTTCTGTTACTTGCCATTTCTTAAATTTAACTTGATAACTTTCTAAGTAAATCCTACACCAAATTGTTTTCAGTGTAGATGACAGAGCCATGTGTATAAGTTGAACTTTTAACTTGCATGTGTTTTATTGGGTAAAAAAATCTGAAAAACAGCAAAATGCATCACAAGATTTAAAGGGATAGTTCACTTTGAAATTAATTTTTGGTATGTTTTAGCTTACCTCAAGGGCATCCAAGATGTAGGTGTCTTTGTTTCCGCAGTAGTTTCAATTTTGATATTTTTAGGTCAAACCGTTCTTGTCTGTCAGTCATATAATGCAGGTCTATGGTCACCACTTCAAAGAGCATGCACAGAGAAGTCCAAATTAAACATGATTTAATGACTCGTAAATGTAAGTACACATTGATGGCCTAAGACACGAAACGAGGGGTTTGTGTGAGAAAACGAACAGTTTTTATATCGTTTTTACCTCTTGTAACCACAGCCATGTGAAAGTGATCTGAGGGCGTGGGCACGTCGGTCTGCGCAAGCGCTGGAAGTGATCTCTCGCGCCTGTATGTCACTCATTGTTTACACAGAGGTTTCAGAAGTGCTACCTTTCACTGTGAAGATCTAAATATATTTAGATATACAGGAAATCGCAATGGAAGACGATTTCAATATATCAACAGACAACCACAACCGCGCGAGAGATCACGTCCGCCGCTTGCGCAGACCGAAGCGCCCGAACCCTCAGATCACTTGCATATGGCTGTGGTTACAAGAGGTAAAACGATATAAATACGGTTAGTTTTCTCACACAAACTGCTCGTTTCGTGTCTTAGGCCATCAACGTGTACTTACATGTACGAGTCATTAAATCATGTTTAATTTGGACTTATCTGTGCATGCTCTTTGAGGTGGTGACCATAGACCTGCATTATATGACTGACATGAAAAGAACATTTGGTTTGACCTAAAAATATCAAAATTGACATTTCTGTGGAAACAGAGACACCTACATCTTGGATGCCCTTGAGGTAAGCTAAAGCATATCAAAAATTTATTTCAAAGTGAACTATCCCTTTAAAATGCAGCCAGATTTAATAAACAGGGCAAACTAGCCTGACCGCAAAACCAAAAAAGTGCCAATAGGAGTAGGAAATTCTGAGCCTGATCTACTGACGATGAGCAAATTAAAGAAAGACACAGCAGAAAATTTCCATATAGACCAATGCGATCTACCGAAAGCAGAACAAATTAACATCTGGTTTAAGACATGCTTCTTTTGGCCGTCATAAAAGGCACAAAAAGAAGTAAATTTACTTAGTAAATCCCCTAGCATGATTTATTTAAACACTCTCCTCCCATAAATGAGCATCTGAAAAGGAAAAATGCATGCATATGCGATAAGTTCAGCCACAAAAATAATCTTGTCCACGCCTTTTCAGTGTAAATATTTCACTGTGTCTGTGTTTTTTTTTTAACGCCAAAAGAGTGTTTGTGCTGCCGCAAGCTGTTAGTAAATGTGTCCCTAAGATGTCAATCTAGTACATATTTGCATAGAATAACTATTAAAAAATCTGCAAACAGATGCAAGAAAAGATCCTCAACATGACCACAACAGATTTGTTTAGCAAATAGAGCTAAATGTTTAACTCTTGATCGTCACACATTTGACTGGATGGCATTAAAGTGTCACCATTACATCAGTTTTAAAAATGAGTCTTACCATTGGCAAATGATGCACCTTTTGCAAAGCTAATGAACTCCGTTCCAGCCAATGAGAGGAGTGATATACTGCGATTGGATGGGGAGGGGGAGGAAGTGTTGTCCCATCTGCCCAGTGTGTGTTTACAGAGCTGAGCCATAGCAGGAACAGCAGCCGCCAGGGACGCAGGGATGCTGCAGTCATATATGTGGGGCTGATTGATCTTTAACTGCTCACCTGTAAAAAATAGATTATGCATATAAATAAATGTATATCATTAATATAATTAATATTATTGCCAATACAGTTCATTAGTCTAACTGTGGGTGGTTATGGCCACAGTTAAGTTTATAATAATATATATATATATATATATATATATATATATATATGAAGAGTTCAGATGCAAAAGCCTCTAAATGCCATTTGAAATTTTCTTCTTTAATGATGATTTTTAGCAAACTTGTATATTTAAGTTCAGTAATTTCACTTAAATAACAAATAATAGGTAATTATCATTGCCATTTAAGTGAAATCACTGAACTTAAATATACAGGCCTGATAAAAATTATCATTCTCGAAGAAAATTTCAAATGGCACTTAGAGGCTTTTGCATCTGAACTCTTCATATATATATATATATATATTTAAGTTTTGGTGTCTATTACAATTTGCTCCCTGTTTTATAAAAGAAAAAGGCTGTGTACCTGTACGTCTGAAATGTACAGCCTTGACTGGCTTATTTATTGAGTTTCTCAACCTTTCTTCCTTATCTGACCCATCAATTCCAAGCCTTGGAGTGTCCAATAACAAGCTAATGTTTGATTAGGAATAGTTTGAAATGTGTACTGTTGGTGTCCCGCCAGGAACAGGGTTATTGCTTTGTTACTATTATTGGAAAGTGATAATACTGTGATTTATAAACACAAGACTGAATGGACTCAAAGAGCAGCACAGTAGTAGGTGTTGTCACTATGGTTACTGTGTCAGAAGGATTACTCTTCTTTAACAGTCACTATGGCAACTGCATCCCATAAATGTTTTGTCTTCAGAAATTGCATATCAAAAGGTTATTTGAGAAGAATTTCACGCAGCGTTTCTAACATCAGACACTCCACAAAACAAGCATATGAAAATGTAAAACATACTAGTCCACCTCATTCATACATGCAGTCATGCACATTAAAGTACACCCAAAAATAAAAATAGTTCAATAATAAATTAAATAATTTTTTTTAAGAATATTGGTCACCAGTTTTGTTGTTCCATACAGGTTTGGAACAACATGAGGGTGAGTTAATTTTGGGGTGGACTGTCCCTTTAAAGTGTGTTTAGACTAAAACACCTAATGCAAAATATGTTCAAAATATGTGCAAAAACTGAATACGTATCTATTGCTTTAGGGTAATAAATTAAAGAGCTCATTCTAAACCATCACAATTTTTGATTAAAAGGCCATATTATTAACCTTTTCCATTTTTGGAATATACTAGAATTGGTTTTCTTGCTCGAATGTTCAAAATACACATTATTTTTCGCATATTTGACATTGTTGCAGCACCTCTCTTACCAGTGACATGTCCGTTCCCAGAAGAACACTCAAGACTACAATCGAGTCGAGTTCAGAAACTGCGCGCACTGATATAGAGAATAACTCCCTCTGGAGGGACTTTAAATGCATTGGAGGCGTACCTATGGTCTGAAAGCGCTCCAAAGGATATGTGACACAGATGAAGTTCTGTCCATTACTTATGCCAGAACTGGGGTATGAGAACTGGCCAGCTGATTTAGGAGGGGGGAAATGAGGTGTGCTGTGGACCAACCAGAAGCCCTGCTGCTTATCAAAGACAACAACCCCTGGAACAAAAGAAAAACTGTGTATTAACATGATCCACACAATAAATGTGCGTTTGTGTGCCTTAAATAGCAGTTAACTGCACCTTTGGTGTGGCCACAAATCCTGCTTGCACCTTCGAAAGTCTTCTGTTTTGGTGGCTGGTCATTATACATAATGTATCCAACATCACCGCCCTGGAAAAAGTTAAAGCTCAAAGCTTCTTCATAATAAACATGCCCTTGTGAAGAGCATGTGATATAAAGCATAAGTTCCTCTTTTATTATGAAACAGTTATGTGCACATATCGCCATTTTAGCTTCTTTTGTGCATGTTTGTTAGCATGTGTGTACACCGAAAAAACACTTATGAGAATAAATTAACTAGGTCTCTGATTTATGCCACCTTTAAATGTAGTATAACTACATAGATTTTAAATACATTTAGAATTAAACCTTGGAATGTACAGTAAATGCCAACGCAGTGTTTTAATACTTCTGCAAAATGGGGAAAATGTGCAGACTACAGAACAGGATAAGCAGAGTCATTTCTCTAAAATCAGCCAGAAAATGACTGATAATGAAAATATTTGGGGGAAAAAACAAAGTTGGCAAAAATTGGCATTTCTCTTTTTTTAATTTAGCAAACAACTTTATGGTAAAGTCATGTTGTGCTATCATAAATGCATAATTGGAGGGTGAGCTGTACCTCATATAAAGGCCCTACTGTTCTACCAACACTACTTTGACTGTCATTGACTAAAGTCTTCCCGTCCATCCATCCCTCACTCTCTCCATCCATGAAAAGATACTTCAGCCCCTCCTGCACGGGGGAATGATGCAGGTGTGGGAGTTTATACAAGTAAAACCTGCAAGGAGAGACAGAAAAGAGGAAAATATGACCCCATCACATGGATGAGTAGGCTACATTTTACATGATAGATCTATGTATTAACTTAAGTAAATTAATTTAAAAAAAAAATAAATTACATGATTTTTAGATGTGAATAAAAGCCTAAACTCAATCTGTTCATCATATAAAGGGATCAGGTCTCTTCAGAAAATGTGAACTAAGACGCTAAATTCATATGGATTAGTTTTAAAATCTCTTTATGAACTTTTTGAAGAGTCAAAGTGGTAGTGTCAATGGAGGGACAGAAAGGTCTCAGATTTCATCAAAAAGACCTTCATTTGTGTTCCGAAGATAAACGAAAGTCTTACAGGTTTGGAACGACATAAGGGTGAGTAATTAATAACAAAATTTTTAGTCAACAATTCTTTAAATGGGTTTGTTCTGAATAAGCTGAGGTCAATGAAACTATCATTGAAATAAATTAAAACAATGGCATTTAAAGTAGTTATTAAAGTACACTTTTCAAATGTTTTGGAGCACTTACATTTTTATTTTTTTTTATATATATATATACATCTCTCATCTTCTCCAAGGCTGCATTTATTTGATCAAAATCACCATAACTTGGACACTGCTTGACATGACATGTCAACTACCAATCATCTTTGATGTCACAGGATGTCCTCTTTGATATACAATGCTGTGGCATGTACAGGTTTGACATGAAACATACTGAATAAAACATATCCAGAATGAACAGATGGACTGTGTCCCAGTGGACTATGACTGTGATTGAAGACGTTGCATGTTATGTGTTTCTATGTCATTTAAAAATGTACAAACCAGTCAACAGGTTTCCCCTCATCATCATAACATGAGATGGATGAAGAAGCTCCTGATGCATGAAGGAGGAGCAGAACATGAAGCAACATGATGGAACTTAAAGAACCTGAAACAGTTCAATAGTTTCATTGAGTCTGTCGGGGAAAAGCAAGTGTACAAATACAATAACAAACATTCTCAACAACACCACTTTTACACTAGTACAAACAGTCTGAATATTAACGGGTAGCCTATAAAATGTTTTATTACTCCTGTCAGTTTTTTAGTTTAGGCGTTGTATTTGCTTGTGGTCTAATAACAAACTGTGACTGAACTCCAAATAGCTGCAATAATGATTAGCCTATCGAATGTTTAGCCTACCTTAACGAAGGCAGGCGATCTGCTGAGACAGAAGTATAACTGAATCATTTCAGTCCTTCCGAAAGCGAAACTTTTTCAAACTCGTCATGTTGTCACATGTAGCAGCCAGGTTCACTGTAGACGTCGAATGGGCTCTATGCACGGCGTTATTTCCGGTGAAGCATTAGGGATGCTCGATAACTTCCGCCGATCATAGAGTCCAATGCAATACCGAGAATTTATATTGAATTTTATACTCCATGGTTATACTAATGAAACGTTAGTCACAAAAACAGATAAAACAGACACCCCTCGTTGTGTTTATGCTTCTTTTTAAAATTATATTAAATAAACATAACTATATATAAAATTACATCTAAACGTATGTACGTTTCGTTTCAAAGACGGGAGGACAGTAAATATTGAAGACTCTGCCATAATCCCGTTTTCTCCGGTTTTCCTCCGCTTTAATCTACACAACCGGAAATGGACGAGCATCCTTACGTCAAATGCGGAACTTATGCGTGCATATAGCCCATTAAAAGCGAGTAGAATGGTAGAATCGCATTTAGCTGAACCCAAAATGGGCGGGAATTGGTGGCCATGATGTTTTCATAAATGTTCGGATAATAAATATATTCTTATTTGAACCATTGTGCATTTTCATTTCAGTGTCTATTAGAGTTTCTCAGTGTCATTATTCATGCGTTTATTATTATAAACAGCGTTGGTAAAACAGGGAGAGTTGTCATGCTATATGTGTTACTTTTCTCAGCGCCGTCAAGAAGAACCAATGTCTGTCGTTTGTGATGACTGGGTTAGTGGTAGCGAGGAATAGTTGTTTAAAAAAATATAATGATATATGATTTTTTTTTAATTTTTTTTTGGTCTCTAACGCAGTAGCACCTCATTGCAGAACACGAGATCCAGGGGGCGGAGTCGGATCCAGATCTGATCTGAGGGGTGGAGATCGGTGGAGATGGGTTTTGGGGTGGATTAGGGATCAGGGGGTGGAGCTGGATAGGTACGTAGTCTAAGGTGGGAGGAGTTGGATCTGCATTCGACTCCTCCCCGTGGATTTCACGTTATTCAGAGCCCTAGTGCCGTAGTGCGCCTCCTGGAGGAACCACTTTTTTGTGATTTACAACCGTATCCATCACTGACGTTGTGCAAGTTTTTTTTTTTTTTTTAATTAGACATTAAACATTACATAGCTATAAACAATAACATGACATTCAAAAAGACAACAATCCAAGATTTTCTAAAGTTATTTTAACATAAATAAGAAACTAAAATAAAAATAAAGATCAAGGAAAAGAAAATTTAAAAAGTAAAATTTAAATACCGGGGATAAGTCTAACCAGTGATGTAGTGGTGCCTGGAGAAGTGGGTATACTCTTAATGGAAAATGGCTTGATGTTGTCAGAATGTGGACATTTTTTTTTTTTTTTACAGCAAGGGTTAACAGTGCAGTTATTATCAATAAAAACTGTCTCTAAGAGTGAAAAATGTCGTCCTGTGTTCCGTCTTTTAAACTTCTCCTCAACGTGCATGCAGTGTAAATAAAGCAGTTGCATCAATGAAATGATAGTAAAGTCAGTCCACGGCCACGCCCCCATGCTAATGGTACCGCACACGGCGCAAATTACAAGACGAAAAAAAAAAAATCAGTTAGATTTCATTTATTCAAATGTTTGTTTCTGAAATCACAATTTAGCACAAGTAAAATAGAAAAAAGGGAGAAAATGCAACTATACATTGATAATGTAACTGGAAAAACAAGAAAAGTGAATGTCTGGTTTCCATTTTTCATTTTTTCATTTGCATTTTATGGTCCGAAAATTGAATTGTGAAGTGTTACACGGATCAACGGTGCATGCACCAACATGAAACGTGCCAGTTTGTAGCAAATGTTTGAAGATCTTCTAACATTTGCATTTTATTTTAATTATTGTTAAAATACTTTAACAATAAAGTAGGCTATTTCGTTAATTTTTAATGATCCTAATGAAACAATGTTGAAACAATGTCGACTTATTCCCCCCTCGTTTAGCCTAAGGGAAACCACCGCAGTTAATTCAACGAAGTAAGTATTTCTTGGATCTCTTTCGTAACTTCCCCATTCTGTTTTTGTTCACTGGAGACAGAGACTGAAAAATAATGGCCTAAATTAAGAGAAGAATCATCATCTAGGCTACATCTGTGGGGAGAAAAAAAACATTTCACCCTCAGGCCTTTTGTAGCCTAACTCTATCACATGTTTCTGCTGTTAGTAAGACGAAGAAAGTTATTAGTACATATCTGTGCATAAAAATAGGTAGACAATGTAGCATATTAGTGATATGCCAGTGTCTCATAGAGATTTACAGTCACATTCATTTGTGAAGCGGTCGGTCAGTGGTTTACAAATATGGTTATGTAAAATAGGCTACAATCAGATAATGATGTCGGCTTCACTTCATGTTCAAATGGATGTCTAAACTCTTTTGCTTTACTATGAATAACTGATGTTTAGTCAATTGTGGATTTACTAAATGAATATTAGGAAGGCTATTTGATTAAATGTTCTACTGCATCTCCTTCTTCATGCCAGAAGAAGTCGCTATGGTCTACTTTAAACACTGTCCTCATCCAGCCTGAGGCTATGGAGGATTTCTGAGAAGTGTTTTACTTATGGTTAATAATATGATTTTACATCAACTTCCACCGTTAAACTATTGTTGCTGTGGTAAAGCCATAGCTAATCGCCACAAAAAAAGTTGTACTTTTTTTACATCCCACCACAGTTAAACGCTTGTTCCTGTAGTAAAGCCAGTTAATTTCCATAAAAGATCGTTTTACTTGTGGCTACTACGATTATACAACAAATACTATTGTTCCTGTATAAAAAAAACTGTTCATATTAGTTAAGTTCACTTAAAGAAACACAGTAAGGTCTCATTTGTTGACATTACTTAACAAATTAATTAGCATTAATAAACCTGCCACAAGCAATATATTGTTGCAGCATTAAACTTGGTTAATGTCAATTAATAAATTGTCCATGTTAGTTCACAGTGCATTAACTAATGTGAACAGATACAATTAAATCTTAAAACGTATTATTAAATGTTTAGCCAACATTAATAAATGCAGTAGAATTGTTAATTCTTAGTCCTTGTTAACTTGTAAACAAATAAAACCTTATTGTAAAGTGTTACCAAAATAGCTTGGTGGTTTTAAATCCAAGAAATTCAAAACTTCACTTCAAATTGTACATTTTCATGACATCTCCAAAACAGATTTTTTAACTTTGAATGAAATGACTAATAATAATGACTGAAAATTACAGTACATATATTCCACGTGTCATAGTCATGTAATAAAACTATAAGAAACTTTTTGAAAATGACAAGGCTACGCTATTCCTTTAACTATTCCTTGCCTTTAACATAAGAAGAGATTTTCTTCACATAAACATTATGGCCTTTTTTATTAAGAAATTGATTAAGAAATGGAGCAAAGTAAATGTGGTATATTAAAAGAAGTGCTTCACGATATAGCACCTCAGTTCCCCTAAACATGTGTGTGTTTGTGTGAACAGGAGGGATGTGGATGTCAGCAACTTGTGGTGATTGCCCTGTGCACCTTGCTGAAGGTGGAGTAGAGTTTCACTGGAGACAGAGACTCAGAGAGAGAGAGAGAGACAGACAGGCGATGGCCAGCCTATCACATCCTTCAACTTCTGCTTTCTCCGGCTCAGCGTCCTACGCCGTGCGCACTCGGATCTCCCTCTTCAACAAATGTGCATTCATGCATCCACAGACGGCTGGGAGCGTTTGCTAAGAACATCAGAACCAGGTGCTGTTACGTCAGAAACAGGTACTTTTGTGATAGTTTTTGAAGTCACTTATTGTCTTTCCTGCTTTTACACACAGTGCTGAGATGTGGGTACGCGTAATTCTGACCTTCATTTACTCTACACTTCTCCTGTCAGGTAATTTTGGACAAGTATCTTGTATTTTTATAGTGAGACGTGCATGTGATTGCTTAATGCAGATGATCTGTGTCTTATGTGCTCTTATGTTACCTGTGTGCCCTTGCTGCACTGGTTATTTATATTGTATTGATCCATGTTTTTTCCTGTTGTTATCCCTGGCATCAACAACCCACACCTTGCTGAGGTCAATGCCGGCCTCTGGTTACTCTTCTGTTGCTTTATAGACCATTTCACAAGATGTAAACAACACTGGTCCAGAAGCACTTCCTGTTTCAGTTTTTTAACACTACATAAAAGCTGGGATAAAATACAACCAACAGAACATTTAAAACTGAATCAAAAAGTTAAACAAACATCTTTAAGATGTTTTCTTTACATGTGAAATAAAGAAAACAGTTACAGGAAGTGCTTCTGGACCAGTGTTGTTTACATCTTGTGAAATGGTCTATAGGAGTCAGGGCCAGTCAGTGGCTGGTGTATTTCTCCAGGACGGACATCTGCGTTTGGGCTGGGACCACGGTTACCCTGCCGTGCCGATACGACTACCCCTCGCCCTACAGCTTCACTCGGTTCATGTGGTTCCACATCTCTGTGGAGGGCCGGCGGGAAATCGCCTACCATACCGACGGGAATCAGTTGAGCCCCTCGTACAGGGACAGGGTCAAATACTTGGGCGGCCACAAAAGATGCAGTTTGCAGATCGCAAACGTGAAGCTGAGCGATGCAGGAATGTACCATTTCAGATTCGAGACCGACAACCAGCAGGAGAGATGGACGTCACCCGATGCAGTCACACTCTCCGTCACAGGTAAGGACACACTTTAAAGATTGAAAGTGGGTTTGAAAATATTTACCCAGTTACAACTATTCAGTACTGTTCAAAAGATCAAGGTCAGGAAGATTTACAATATTTTTATTCAGCATATATGCATTAAAATGATCAAAAGGGGCATTATAGATTTATAATATTATCAAATATTTCTTTTTTTTTTAAAAAAAATCTTGTTCTGAAAAAGTTTCTGAAAATATGTATCATTGTCTCCACAAATATATTAAGTAACCCTTACTGTTTTCAATAATGATAATAATTGGAAATGTATCTTAAGCAAATCAGCATATTAGAGTGATTTCTGAAGGATCATGTGATACTGAAGACTGGAGTAGGGCTAATGATGCTTTACATCACAAAAATAAATTACATTTTAAAATAGTAATGTTTCACAAATTTACTGTTTTTTAACTGTATTTTGGTCAAATAAATGCATGCAGCCTCAATGAACAAGAGAGACCTCTATACTGAAGTCAGTATAATTTTTGGAGTGGAACTACCTGTTAATTCGACCAATGGCTGTCAGTGGGCAGGGTGGTTGGTGTAGTAAGAGTGTTTGGGAATATTTTATAAGCAATTATATACACAAGCACCTATAAACGCCCAAGCAACCACGTAGCAATGGCCTGGCAATTATCACACTCAAATTTTATTCCAAAAAATCAACACATTCTCACCCCAAGGCGTCACCTTTTGACCATGCTTCAATGTTTGACGCTTTAGGCGCCCTTTTAACGTCAGTTACATGACGCAATCCTACGGTGTCATCTAACTGACGCTAAAGGAAAGCGGGTAGGTTTACACCGTGTCCTAACTACACGCGACAAAATTCCAGCGGCAGTGTGTCTGTCCACTGCCCCACACTAGACGCGACGCGACTGTGAGACGCCACACATTCAGAACAGCGTGTGAGCAGAGTCTCTCTGTGAAAGCGCACTGTTGGCCCACACTTGCATTGGAAATGGGTAAGGACATAATCAAATCAAGAAATAACATTATTAAAAATCAAAACATTAACAAAATATACTCATTGACTAATTTTGTTATGAAGTACAGTTATATGTTTGCATAGAATTCATTTTGAACGCTATATTACATGCTTTCAAAATCTGAGGTAAATTATCCGTTATTGCTTGAGGCACAGTGACCTATTTTTAACTAAAAAATAAATAATGTGTTCTCATAACCAGTGTAAATTTCTTCATTACGTCGCATAGGAACCGTTTCTAAATTAGAAACTTTGTGTGTCGCCGTCGTGTCTGGTTAGGACAAAAACTCTGATTAACATGGAAAAGATACCTTTTATCGCATGTCGCGGCATCGCGGCGCGTGTAGTTAGGACACGGTGTTAGGTCTGGGTTACACGCGATCCTAGGGCGTCATCTAACTGACGCTAAAGGGCGCCTAAAGCGTCAGATATTGAAGCATGGTCAAATGCTTCCCAAGGCGTCAGATAGGTGACGTCTTGGGGGTGAGAATAGGCTGAAAAAATCTATTCATTTGAGAACTTTTTCTGTGTATTTGCTTATTTTTGTGGAGAAAACCCATCTAGCTGCCCCTGTAGTAGTATGGACCAAATGCAGTGAAATGTTGTCCTGGTTCCAGAGCTTCAGGTTCACGTACATCCACCGAGAATTGCCAACATGTTTGCTGCTGGTGAGACCGTCTTCCTGAGCTGTGTGGCGCGAGGCTGTGCCGCATCTGGCAGGAACTTTGCTCTTTATCAGAATGGGATCAACTTGGGGCAGTCCAGCAAGCTGTCAGCCATCTATAACTTTGACAGCCAGCACGCAGGCACCTACACCTGCCGCCCAATACCCCCTCAAAACGTGCAGTCACCGGGAGTCACCCTGGCTCTTGGATGTGAGTATAAAATATTTATTGTGCTTATGGACAAAAAAAAAAAAAATCAAATAAAGAATTTAAACACTTTGAAATGTTATTTAACAACTGAAACTTGTTTAAACAAACAAAACAAAAAAACTAATTTTATGAAGCTTTATTTGTTTATGTCCCAAATACGTAAAACTATTGCACACAGTGATAAAAGCAGTGTGAGTGTGTGCAGTTGAGTTCACTTGCATTTGATCTCTTTCTTTCTGTGTCTTAGACGCTCCTCGCTACACCACGGTGCAGATCACCCCTCGAGAAGCAGTCAGAGAGGGCGATTCGGTGACTTTGACCTGCAGTAGTGATGGAGCTCCGCCAGCAGAAAGTTTTGCCTGGTTTAAGGAAGGAGAGAGTGGCAGCATGCCAGACAGCTTTAAACCGGAGCTGAGACTGTGGAGTTTGGACTACAGGGACCACGGAGAGTACTTCTGTGTGGCCCGTAACCCACTCGGCACAGACCGGTCCAGACCGCTTCTACTCAATGTTACCTGTAGGTTGCCACCATGTTTATCTATCTTTAATCTATTTACTGGTTTGTTTGCATGCATTTCTACTGTGCATATAGAGGTTTTCTAACTGCAGCGGCGTGCAGTTTATCAGTGAATAGGTCAAAGTGACCGCCTTTTCTTTCTTTTTTTTTTTTGTGTGGAAATGTCACCAGACATTTCAACTTTTCACCTTCCCTAATTAGACACATGTTTCCAATGTTGCTGAGCTTATGACTCTGTGAGTTTTTTCAGTTGCTGGTTCTTGTGTAATAACTTTAATTTTGGCAGGACATTATGTCACATTGTCACACATTGTCTGCCAACCTCCAATAGATCAAAGTTCGAATCAAGTGTACATATTTAGGTCAAATATGCCGGGAAGCCACATGATGCTTAGTCGTGAAAGGAGTATTTACTTCCTGTTTTCACTTGCTAAGTCAAACATCAGTACTAACATTGGTCATACTTAGGGTTAGGGGTTAGTATTAAACATTGGTACGTGACTTGGAAAACGTTGTTTATGCCATAGGCATGACTGGTACCTCAAATAGTGTAGTTTATGTAGGACAAGTGTGCTACTACGTTTCAAAATTTTCAATTATCACCTGCCAAATTATAAAACATCCGACCAAGCTCAATTGGCGTCCGACCAAGCTCAAGTTCTTTTAGCGTGAGCCAATAAGCAACCACACTGTAAAAGGCATGCAAACCGATTATCTTAAAAAAAGTAAAGTGAAATAGGAATAGTATTGTACTGGCAAATGCTTAGATAGTTCACTTACACAAGAGTTATAGTAACTAAAAAGAATAAATACAATTTAAAATTGTTTTGCATGCTGCATGTTGAAGTCTGTGTGTGACTGGTCAATGGTCAATTGCAAGATATTGTCACAAATATAGAAGGATTGATCAACCCAGTTAAAAGTTTCACAAAGTGTTTATCATTATTTGACATGAAAAATAGACTAGATAATTATTTATTAGAAGCTGTAGATGTTTTCTTGTTGCATCACAACATCAGGAAGAGAAGTAAATAACACAGTCTCATCCCAAGAAGTCATATAACTGACGTCTTTTGACCATACGTCAACATCCGCCTTTTTAGGGTACCCTTAAACGTCGGTTACATGACGATCCCGGGCCGTCATACAACTGACGCTTTACCTTTAGCGTCGGCTAGGTGACGGGGTAGGTTTAGGATCCGATAACGTCAACTAACCGACGTTTAAGGGTACCCTAAAAAGGCGGATGTTGACGTAGCCTATGGTCAAAAGACGTCCCAAAACGTCAGTTATACTTGGGATGAGACCGCGCTGAAGTATATTAATGTAAATGTTCCAAATGTCCATCCAAACAGAACACTAATCACCATAATGGTGAGTTCAGACAAAACATTTCAGGAAAATCAACATAAATTTTTTAAGTCCGCTTATATGACATTCTCTCAAAAATTCAAGATGATTTTGGGAAATGAGCGAATGCATATAGAGAAAGATAACTGCAGAAGTGGAGGGAATGAGTGAAAACAAAGTCTATTTAGAATTGATGCGCCTCAACTTTTTTCTTTTGCTTCACAAAATGGCACTCAAATCAATTAATCTTAACTTGGGTTTTCTGAGTAAACAAGTCATAGTGTGTGAATAGTACAGATTACTAGATTTTTACAATCAAGTTAAGACATTAAGTAAAGTTTTAATTGCTAGTTAGAACAAGGGTTATTAGTTCACATAAAAAAAAAATTTGCTGATAATTTACTCACTCAAGATGTCCATGTCTTTCTTTCTTCAGTGCTTTTATATATTTCAAAATATACTTGTGTGTGTTTCCAGACTCCCCAAAGAACACAATAATCCTCATCAGCCCTAAAGGAGACATTATGGAAGGTTTTGCTGTCAATCTGACCTGCAGCAGCAACGCCAACCCTCCTGTGGATCAATACTCCTGGTACAAAGTGAACGGCGGGCAGCCCTGGACCAGAGGCGCCGCGCAAAATCTCACCTTCCTTAGTGTGCGTTCCCATCATGCCGGACAATACTACTGCACTGCATGGAACGTGTTTGGCATGGAGACATCAGCCACTATTTCTCTTTCAGTGCTTTGTAAGTTTATATACAGTATTATAAACTCTATACTGTGTGTATGCCTGTGTGTGAACTACTTATTTCACCACTCTCTCTCTCTCTGTATCAGATGCCCCCAAAAACACCTCCGTGTTGGCTCAGCCTTCCCCTGTGATCGAAGCGGGCAGCTCTCTGACGCTGACCTGCAGCAGTCAGGCCAATCCGGCGGTGGAGAACTACACCTGGCACCGGATCAATACGGCTGACGCCTGGGAAACTCGATCGGGTCCCAGCTACACCATTGCTGAGGTCAGCCCCCGAGCCAGCGGCCAGTACTACTGCGAGGCCCGCAACCGCATAGGGGCTCACAGCTCGCCTGTTCTGACGGTGAAAGTTCGAGGTCAGTACCTTACACAATTACTGTGTTCAACAATCTGTTTATTGTTTGTTTGAGGATCAAACATCTACCTATGATTATTATTGGGATTAAAGGTGCATTATGCAATATTTCATGTTAAAAATACCCGTTTTTCTAACCCATACTATTGCCTGATGGGCTGAATGAGGCTTCTCTGATCACTGCGATTGCCTCTATAATCCTGTTCAGTAAAATAAATAAGAGGGATTCGGGACGGAATTTTTTTGAGACTGGGCGTGACGTCATGCGCGTTCACGCTCACCTAGCTATGTCTGGCAGGGTTGTGTATTCACCGCCATTGTCCGTATCAGCGAAGACAACTCGAAAGACAAAACTTTAGTCAACTTTCGACAAAAGTAGAAGATGGATTCGAAGAGACCGGCTTGTAGTTCATTCCAAACCCCAACGCAAAAGACAAAGAAAATAAAACTTTTGTCTAGTGCCAGGCGTCAGAATAAGACGAGAGTCAACACGAGACGAGAAGGCTTTCAACAAACGGAGAGATCTCCGGTCTGCTCTAGGGTTCAAAAGGGATCCTATACAAAGTTATAACTTATATTGTTTATGAACGTGTTTCCATAATAATACAATCATAAGTGGATAGAGCAAGCACATAAAACAGTTCAACATAGAGATAGATGGAAACAAAAAACAAAATTTTCCCCTGTAATTTACTCAAATGCCTTTCCTTTCATATATTTAAAATGACTTCCAGATTTATAACTTTATTACCTCTGAAGACATGACTGTAACAAAAGATTTGTGCAGCTTATGCTCCTTTGGTTATGAACAGCTCGTGCAAGTGTGTGTTTGTGGTCTATGAGAGTGCACACCTGGTTGCAGTTTCGCTTGTCACCAAAGGGGGCGTAGTTCTGCAAAACTCAGACCTCTTTAAAAACTCTTTAATAAATGTAATGTTTTAATGTAATGCTTTTAGAACATTGATGTTTTTTATCATATTGCTGTCACTGCTGATTTTTTTTTTCAGAAACTGATACTTTATTCCACAAGGACACATCGAATTTATCAAAAGATACCGCAAAGACAGCTATTATGCTATGTTTCAAATGCTGTTCTTTTTAACTTTATATTCAAACAAATCAAAATGTATCACGGTATCCACAAAAATATTAAGCAGCACAACTGTTTTCCAAATATAGTTAAATAAATATAGTTACGCCTGTTAGATGTTATGTATTTGTTAATTAGGTAATTGATGTGCATGATTGAGTTGAAGTGTTTTTTTTGTCCAGGCCGATTGAAAGTGATCGCATTGGCGTCTGCAGTGGGCGTGTCTATCGGACTGATCTCATTGACCGTGGTCGTCATGATCAGGTGATTGTATGTTTATGTGCTAAAATGGTGAATATCTGATCTTCTCATTTGATCTTACACACATCATTTCACGTTTCTTTTGCAGTAAAAACATGCATCGTGTCGACATTGAAAATCGTGAGGAAGAAAAACAGGTAAATGTGTTTTTTAATATATTTAATTCTGTCATAATAGGATTTGAATCTACAAAAATTAGCCTATTAATCAAATGGGTTTTTCCTTTTAAAAAACAGTGTTCACCAGTAGTTGATTTACCAATGGATGAAACTCTGTTCAGCGAATCAACTTCAGAGACGTTTCTCTTCAAAAGCACAAAAATGTCAGATATCCCGGTAAGTTTTCTTAGTTTAAATATGTGAATTTGGACACAGTCTAGATATTCTCTATCTGGACTGTGTCACAATTCACATATATATATAATACACACTAAAAGTATGTATGCTGGTGTAAGAATGTTTTAGTAAGAAATGGTCATAAAATTATAACACTGTAATTATCATTAGCTAAATTTCCAATCTCAAATTAAATCATTACAACTTTCAGGATGGGTTATACATTTAAAAACTGAGCACCTTTGTTCAACATAAAAATCTTACCCTCATCTTTTTCAATTGCAAAATTTACTGTAATTATGGTATGAAAACTATACGAAGCCATAATAATGACATACTAAGTCAACTTATCAAATTAATTACATAAGCCATAATTATGACATATGCAAAGTAAATAGTCATAATTATGACATGTTAAGTCATAATTTTGAGAAAAAAACGTTAAATGAAATTGGAAATTAGGACATACTATGTCAAATTATGATAAATTCAAACTTGACACAAGTCATCATTTTGATTTAAGTGAGATAGTTGGATTCATGACTTTCCTAGTATGTCATTATTTGAGTTTTATATCATAGTTATAATTTTTTAATCTAATAATTTGAAATTCCACAACTGTCACATGTAGAGTAATTTGTAATGCACTAATTGTAGTCTTGATATTAAGAATGCATAGTATATGAGTTGGTCCATACTGTACAAAGTCATGTGACACATGTTTTATGTTGTACCTGTTTCAGGAGGAGCCAGAGGAGATGTATGAAAGCAGTTACCCATCCATCGTACCCCTTAAAGAAGCTCCTCGGAGCACTGAGGAACAGAGACAGGTCAACTACATTACGGTGCATTTCTCTCGCATGCCCAGGTTAAACACAATTACACCATCCACGTGTGCTGGTTTGCGGCAGTCCTCTGTCATATTAAAACAAGAGATGTTGTGTTTGCCATCTTAATTTACAGTCTGGACCAGGTGCAGGTCACAAACATACCTCTAGATGGAGGGAAGAAGCTTAAAGATGGTCCTGATGTTGTTTCCACCAAGCAACCGAGAGAGGGGATGGAAGAGTCTGGAATCTAAAGCCAGTGAATTGTGAAACCACACAGGGATTTTTTCTAAACTACATGTACTTATAGAGCATGTGTGGACCACTTGATGTAGCCTGAAAGTCAGAGACTTGAAAAAAAGACCACACATGTAGATGAAATCACATGTAATTTGCTCTAATAAAATTTCAGTTGCTCAAAACAGATACTACTGTTCAAAAGTTATGGGGTCAGTCATTTTTTTTAAATGTTTTTGAGTCTTTTGTGCTCGACCTCTTGTTAAATTTTCTATATTAAAATGTTATTCCTGTGAGAATGAATTTTCAGCATAATTACTCCAGTCTTCTGTGTCACATGATCCTTCAGAAATCATTATAATATGATGTTTTGCTGTGCAAGAAACATTTCTTATTATTATCAATGTTGAAAACAGTTGTGCTGCTTAATATTTTTGTGGAAGCCTTTATTTATTTATTTTTTTTTGCAGATATCTTTAAATCGAAAAATCAGAAGATCAGCATTTAGTTGAAACAGAAATATTTTAATACATTATAAATGTCTTTACTGTCACTTTTGATCCATTTAATACATCCTTGCTGAATAAAAACATGAATTTCCTTCCAGATCTTACTTCCCCAATACTTTTGAACAGTAGGGCAAATATGTGGTGCGAACTTCTTCTCCCATAGATTTGATTAAACTGATCATAAAAAAATCCCATTTAAACATTTAATTTAATTGACATGGTGTAACGGTTTTTCCTGACAGGAAGCTCCAAATAAAAAATAATTTCTTACAATGATAACATAAAGTCTGTTTACTTATACATTCTGGCAACAATACTGTCATGTTTTAAGTCTTTTTGTCACATTTTGAGTTTGTTTTCCTGTAATGTGAATGTCTGTGTTTCTTAAGCCAGGACCACACTGTATGAATTTGGCCACGATTTTGCCATTTGAGAAAAATTTAGCAAATCCTAAAAGATTCCTAGGCTAAAATCTGAAGTCTTTGATCGTTAGTTTGAGATGTTCATCAACAGCCGATTAATGACCGTTGCAATCAAATTTGACCTCAGATGAAATTCTGGCAGTGTCAGAAGATTTGACTCAGTCCTGCAGTTTGACTTCTACTACGACTGTCAAATTGTCTTCATTTTTCAAGACAAGCCATGACCAAAAAATGTTAGAGATTTCTTTGTAGCCACCATTTCAATCCCACTTGTAATGCAGCTCACATCACTGAACGTGTCATTGTCAGAGATCTTACAGTGTGTCATGGCTCACAGCGATGGTCATGTTTGCACAGTCTGATATACTGCAAAAAACATATTGTTGGTTTAACTTAAAAAAGTAAGCAACCTGGGTTGCCTTAAAATTTGAAGTTGATTGAACTGGAAAAAGTGAGTTAATACAATGAAGGAGACTCATTTAATCATCAGAAACTCAAAATAATAAGTTATCTCAACTAAATAAGTTATTATAAAGAAAATATGATAACAAATCTTGAAAATATTTTTTTTACAGTGTAAGCAGCAATTTTTACACTTTTTACACAAACTAACACTTTTTAGTTTACTTTACTTAAAATGGATGTAGCAGCAGTAAGAATTCTCCTTTTACAGGGGAATCAGTCGTTCGATTGGGTCTAATACACAGGCGTTCATGGATTCACAAAGTGTGCTCCAAAATTCTAAATTCTACAATCACATGGAAAATTGGGTTTTATAAACAGCGATTTATAAGTTAAATAGATTAAATCGATTTAAACAGTGAACACAGTACCAAGTGCTTTGTTAATTGAGTTATATGCCAGAAAACAGACGTCAAGCAGTTTTCTATAATTTACAATGTGAGAATCCATAATACATAATATAATTCCTGCTGACTTCATAAATTCATTACTTTCTACTACTGTTCTTTGTTCTAATTTATTTCAGGCTCTGTTGATCAGTCCCTCTTGTTCAGTGGAGGATGGTCATTGTGTTTTTGCCAAGTAAGACATGTTCCTTGATCAACATCTTTTGTTGATCCTGGAACAAAATTCCTGTCCAAAAACACTGTATTTAATTACTTAATGTGATTCAGCAATTGTATACCTGCTCATTTGTCATCAGTTTTGCCGTGGAATTCGTAACAACTTTCTAATACACTTGTTCTAAAGCCTAAATGCGCCGACTTCCTCTTTCTTCAATGTCCTCACTTCGCAACCTTAGCCCTTAACACTGGTTGTAACCCTAAACTTGACATTAACCATAAACTTGTTCCTCATACTGTAAAAAAAAAATACTTTCATGATTTGTAATCACAACATTTTTTCTTTTGTCAAATCAACTTAGATTTATGTAGTTCGGATAACATAATATTTTGAGTTTCTGGTGATTAATCTCCATTGCATTAACTCAATTTTTCCATTTCAATGAACTTAAAATTTTAAGGCAACCAGGTTACTTATTTTTTTAAGTTAAACCAAAAATATTTTTTTACAGAGTGATGTTTTTTTACAGTGTGAATTTTGTTCCAGAATCAACAAAGATGTTGATCCAGGAACATGTTTTACTTTGTTAAATGATGTCCGCAACATGCAAAATGTAAGACACAACATGATATATAGCATACATTATGTTGTTTGATCTGCAGAATATAATATAAAAAGATAAATCATATAGATGCAGAAAGGCTGTAAATGAATGTGAAAGTAGCATACAGACAGAAAAGAAATGACAGTATCAGTTTTGGTCACAGCCACTGGTTATTTTTCTCATCCTCTGTGGTAAAATATATATTGACTGCTTGTTTAAAGTGATCTTGACCTCGCTCTCCTGAAAGACAAAGCCATTTTCCATTAGTTTCAATAAGACCAGTAATGATGACAAGCAAGAAACCTATTGATTAAACGCTTTGCTTACTTGGACTTGTATCTGATGAATATCACAATGCCTGCTATTGCGATAATGATGACAATTACCCCAAACACAATTCCAACAGTAGATGAAGATGCACTTCTTGCTGTGAGGAATTGAGGACAATGTAACTCTTCCAAATATACATATAAATGTGTGTGTGCCATATTGATTGGTCACTGTTTCAAATTGTTTTGGTTTTTTTAAATAAAACAAAGAATGAGTCATGAAAGCTGGACAGATTTCTCTGAGGAAGTGTCTCTCGTTTGAGGAAATGTGTTTTCTTATGTCATCTTGTGAACGACAGACTGGCCTAACAACGGAAGTTGCTTTAAGAGTAAACAGTGGAAAACAGACACGAAAATATGAAACACATTTGAATTATTTCAGAATACAGAAGAATGACCTTATTCAATTATTATAAATGGTAGCTTCACATTACTGTTCCATTTGTTAGCATTAGTGCATTAGTTAACATGAACTAACAAAGCATTTAGCAATCTTAGTTAATGTTAGTATCAACACTTGCTAATAAAACATTACAATAGAAAGTTTTATGGACTTGAGCTAACATGAATTATTAATAAACAGTTGTATTAGTTAACAATGATGAATAAATACTTTATAAATTGCTCGTTTATATTAGTTAATGCATTAACTAACGTTAACTAATGGGACCTTATTGTAAAGTGTTATATAAAGAGCCTAATCAACACATTCTCACCCCAAGGCGTCACCTTTTGACCATGCTTCAATATTTGACGCTTTAAGCGCCCTTTAGCGTCAGTTACATGACGCAATCCTACGGCGTCATCTAACTGACGCTAAAGGAAAAGCGTCAGTTAGATAACGTGGGTATCATAGACAGTAAAAGAAATGGACAGAGCGATCTCATTGAGACGATTAAAGCCCGTTTTTGGCGAATTTTTAGCACTTCCGTCCCTGACGCGCAGACTCAAACATTGACTACGTACGTAATATGACGAGAGCAACCCATCTGTCTTCTAATGCTGTGGCATGAGAAATCTGAATCATTCCCTTCCGAAACATACAGAGGCGGAGAGTGTAAATAGTAGCCGTCCATGAGCTAGGGGAAGGAGACAATTCTGCTAGGTATTCTGATTAATTATTTTGTCATTTTGCCTCCACGTTTCCACGATTGTGTGCGAGCTTCTTCTCCTGTCCATACGGTAATTTCTCAACGGTGCGACAGAGAGTCGCGTGGGTATGACGCAATCGTTAGCCTACTTTCACTAAACCTGCTTCTACGGGGCCATAACATAAGCTACAAGGTAATGGAGCATTTTATACATTGTTGTGTTTCTTGAGAAATAAATAAAGGACAAATGGGGTCTTCAAACGCCTCAGATGTAAAGTTATTCGCTGTCAAAGTGACGCCAAAATGAATGGGAGTCAATAGGAATGCTAACGCAAGTGAAGTTCTGCTACAAGATGGCAGCTCCCGCGAGGCTTCAACTTCCGGTCGATGGATTACCCCCTTGGTAGGTCTGGGGTAGGGGTAGGGTCGCGATCCTAGGGCGTCATTTAACTGACGCTAAAGGGCGCCTAAAGCATCAGATATTAGGTGACGCCGTGAGAATGGGCTGAAATATTATGAATGCTTTACTAAAAAAGTAGGACTATGTGATTTCTAGGACTAGAATGATTTTTTTTTTAGTTGTTTTGGTCTAAAATATTTAATTACTTTAGTTTATAGGGTCTAATTCTCACTTTTAACATTAACTATGACTTTTTCCTCAATGAACTCCTAATAACTGCTTTATAATAGTTATGGTGGTTATTAAAGGATGCAGAATATGATCAAGCAGAATAAGGCATTATTACGTGCTTTATAAGTAATAAACAATAGCAAGAATTGGACCCTAAACTAAAATGTTAGTTTTATTTTACCCCCAGCACTGACAAACGTTAAAAAATTCAATTATCAAAATGTGCAATTTAAGTGCACTTCTCAGTATGTGTTGAAATATTATTAACATGTCAGTTAATAACTGCTCTTACTTTGTACGTGATGATGTGTAACGGTAACCTGTAGATTCACTCCTCTCTGTCCTGGTAGCTTGGCCTTCAGGTGGTCGGTGATGAACCGGAACATGTACACGCCACTGTCTGCTGACCTCAAATCAGATATCATCAGAGAACAGTTTTTGCTCCCCGTCTGCCCAAAGTACCTGATGCGGCCCTGATACGAGGGCTCTGGGAATAT